AGCAGGAACATGTGAATGACTGAGATAAAAGGTGAATTGGACTCTGGAATTGTGCTTGTTCTTCTGCAGGGAGAAAGAAAAAGTGTTGGTGTATTTTATACAGGTCTACTCAAAACATGGCAAGCTTTTTCTCTAAATCTCTCATTTTTGCTTTACATAATCAAAATTCACAGAATGTGTCAACAAGGAAAGAGGGTAACTTAGCCTAGAGTGAAAAGCACCCTTCGTAATGATTCTGTCACTGGGAAACCCTTACTGTCTGTACGAACACTTATGCAAACCACTTTGCTACATCAGTGGATGTACTGCTGAAGCAAAGTTTTTCATTTTTCCCAACTGCAACGTATACTGGACCCAGTAACCAAAAGGAGATACCAAGAAGAAAGGCACATACCAACAGGTCATGTATGGACAGGCATAACATGACAAGAAGCAACTGAACATTTACGACAGTAAAAAGACCAACGAAATGAAACCTAATCACGGGAGGCCAAAAACAATTACCATTATATACGCCATAGCAAAAGCAATTCCTAATATGGTAGCCTTTTGCTTTAAGCATCTAGAGCAATTCATGCTGACTAAATGACTCAATATGCCTTTTCACTAGTGCTGTAATTTTTACAAAAAATAGCTGATTTTTAAAAAGTCAAGTTCCATTCCCACGGTTCAGGCAAAGATTACAGCATTCCCGGCAGAGGATGCATATTAAATAATAAAGACCGACACTTTGCAAGCAGAAGGCCATAAAACACATACTTTCAATGAAACAGGAAAATACTTAGCCACTTATTTGGAACAAAGTAAGGACAGAATATCAGCTTTAATTCTTTATGTCCTGCTTTTTTTAAAAAAGAGTATTTTTAGGAGTTATTTTTAGCAACTCTTGTCACAAGTGCTAGGAACCCTTAAACATTTCAGTTGTATTTAAAAATTGAAATCATCTGTGAGAAATGGCTGGTTGCTGCATTTTAAAAATAATACCTTAACAGCAAACCCATGTGAAAGATGTAAATGAAATTGTTGATTTACAAATGAAATAGAGCTGGAAGAAAAAGAAGCCATACTGTTTAGACTTGAAGGGATGTATTTGTGTGGCTGTTCCCTGGCTCAAATTAAACTCGAGTCTAGAGGGTATGTTCAAGTGGAGAGGAAAAGGAACGGGTGGGGCAGAACCTATATCGCCTGTATTTCAACCCATTCTCCAAAGCAGAAGCACTTTCAAATGTTGCAGATTACAGAGTGCCTCCTAGCATTTGTTCTAGTCTGGGAGCCTGCCAAGCATACAGTATTGCCCCGACAGCAAGGTCCTCTGACAGTCTCTGATTCCCCTGAGTCCTGGTAATCACTTTCAGAGCACAGGGTAAGCAAGAGGGTGTTCTATTTTCTCAAAGGATACTGGGCGGGCCAGTTTCTGAACATGCCATCTGTTTTCATCTTTGCCACTGATAGGAGAGGAGCAGAAGGGAGAAGAACTGTAGTTTTTTCTTATCTCCCCTTTGCCCCACCAAAGAAGCAGTAGACCAACTAAAATTTTGAATGCACCCCACAGTTTCTTTTCCCTATTCTAACATTTCTACAATGGGCTATTTTGGGTTCATATCTCTTTGTTTCTGTATTTTCCTTTCTGACAATTCAGGCCAGGAATATAAGTTTTGCTCGAGCATTTCAAAGGAACAGAACTAATTCCAAAATTAAAAGCGATGTCCTATTTTCTTCATTACATGTGCCAGCTTGTCTCTGTGCTACAAGTGTTCAGTGAGCGAAATCAGATATTTTCAGCACAGAAGCATTACTTCAGGAAAGGTCATTGAAAGTAATAAACAATATTTTCTACTGAAGCCAGTCAATGTTCTCAAGAGCAGCCTGTAGATTTATGAAGGCATGAAGTGTATTCCCCAAAATTAAACAAATAAACAAAAAACATTGTGCAAGACCCTTTTAAATGCCATGGCTAAAATCCTACAGCATAAATTACAGTCACAGTAAGGCAGGTGTCATCGTCAGGAAGAAGCTGCTGGTCATTAAAGAAACCAAAAAGTAATGACAGCCTGAGTAAGGAAGAACCACAATAGGGTAGTTATCCTTAATCCAGAGAAGACAAGAGATATTCCTGGCCAGCTGAAAGGCAGATCAAGGAACAGAGCTGTGCTGTATGGGGTTACTCTCAGTCTGAAATCATAGGTGCACAGCTTCGGGGTACTCCTAGATTTGTCTCTGAGTCTGGATGCCCAGGTTTTGAGGGTGGTTCTAACTTATAAAGCCTTAAAGGACTTGCGCCCAAGCTATCTCAAGAACTCTGTCTCCCATTATGTGCCTACTTGAGTGTTAAGATCATCAGGGGAGGCCTGTCTCTCAGTCCCACTATCTTCACAGGTGCGTTAGGTGGTGACATGGGAGACGGCCTTCTCGGTCATTGCTCCCAGACTTTGGAACTCCCTCCCACAGGAGGTCAGGCTGGCCCCATCTTTTCTGTCCTTCTGCAACCTTTCTCTTCAGGCAAGCTTTCCCTCGGTGACTGGCTGGCTGAGTGGGTTTTTTTAATGGGTGGTATACTTTACTGTCATCGAAGCTACCAACATGAATTTGACCCAACTCCAGGAGGCAGTGGGAGACAGGAAGGCTGGCGTGCTCTGGTCCATGGGGACACAAAGAGTCGGACACGACTTAATGACTAAAGAACAACAACAACAAATACTTTACTGCTTTGAATGTGTTTTTGGTGTTGCTTTTGTGTACCATTTTTAATGATGCATTTGTTTGATCCTTTTTATATTGTATTATACTTATTTCAAGGTGCTGAGGTGTGCTTGATGACCATGCACCCAGTTGCACAATCAAGATGTGCCTTAGCACCTGGCCAATTAACTGTAGCAAGTTAAACAAACACCATTAGAATTCCTGCTCAGAAACATTTTGTTGAGATTTTATTTATTGTCATTTTGCCGCAGAAAGTTACACAAATTTTATGCAAAACCCAACAGAATTCTGTCCCTTTTCTTCCATATCAGTGAGATATTTGCAAGGACCAATACAGGTAGATCTAAATCACCCGTAGACAACTTGCGGCTTTCCAAATATTGTTATAGTGCAATGCTATGAGCTTTCCCAACAATTTATCCAGTCATGGGAACAATAGTCTAACAACATCAACATCTGCCAACTCTGTTCCAAGCTGAACTTATTGAAAAGGTATGCATGAGATAAACATGCCCTGTAGGCTTCCAGATATTAAAAGTTCATGAGGACACAGAAGTTTTTGAAACTCCTGTGAGTCAGGGTTTCTGCTTTGTAACTGTTTTGTGGTATCAAGATCTTTATTCAATTGGAAGGAAGACAGAAGTTAGAACCTGATGTGATCTAGTTTTCCACCCCCAAATCTACTATGCTGAATGTTCAAAGTGTGCTGCTTTATATACCACACCATTGTGTTTAACGTTCTCTCTGGATGGTCTATGATTTAATTACGCAGGCTATACATTGCTCCCCCTCCAGCAAGCTAGATTCTCAATTTATTGACCTTGGAAGGATAGAAGAATGAGTCAAGATGGAGCTGGCTACATGAGCCCATTGGGATCGAACTCAGGTCCTGACTCCTGAGCAGTCTTTGGCTGCAATACTGCAGTCTAACCACTGCATCACAAAGCTCACACTTAATTAAAACCAGATTCATCTTAAATTACTCAATCAAATTTTCTGTATCATGTGACTTTCTTATTTACTTTGCTACCACACTGAAGTTCTACATCCCCCCCAAACTCAAAAGAACCCCCAGAGAATTGACCTAATCTGTCCAGACATAACTAGTGTGCAAGCTATCCTTCCTTGCTGGTTTTATTGCATGCAGACCACTCAAATGGCCAGAGGACACAGTCTCCCAGGGCAGGCGGACTGTGCAAGAGGTTTTGATGCCAAATCCTGCCAGGGAAGAAATCCACAGGCGGTCTTGCCTGACAGCTACAGTACTGTACCTCTACAAAGGGGCACAACCTGAATCACGGAGACTGCATGGGAAGAGGGGCGGAGGGAAGTTAAGACAACCAAGCCGCCCTCTGCAACGGAGACGCCAACGCGTTCAGCACCGGATGATCGAATAATGAGAAGCTGGGCGACGCGGCATCAAGCAAGTATAGTATAAGCGTAGAGACAGAAAGATCACTGACTGGAGTGGCGAACAGGTTCCCGTATTTCTCGGGTACCTTGTTTATAACAAGGCGAATGGATCCCCACGCAGTCCCTACGAGGGCCTTGCCTACGCACAAGAGTGGCTTGCGCCCATCCTCTCCTATTCCCCTCGCCAACGAAGCAACACCGTCCCCACGACCTGTTACAGTGGAGAGGGTTGGTCAGGGTCGAGGGTTCAAGAGCCCAGCGTGGCGGGCGCTGCGGCGCGATGCCTGACACGGGCCCGCTTCCCGCCACACCCGACCGTTCCGGAGTATTAAAAAGGATGCCTCTGAAAATTTCTGCCGAAACCCCACGCAACGCGAAAACCTCCTGTTATTTCCCAACGCCCTTTCTTCTCGAGAAGCAGCCACAATCCCTTCAGCCGACCTGCATGCAGGGTGGCGGCGACGGGCGCGCTCTCCGGCAACCCTCTTTCCTGCAAGCGCGCTTGGCGCTCCCGGGCGCTCCGGGACCTCTTCTGCCCGCCTCTGCGCCCCGGCCCCTGCTACCCC